ATAAATAAAGTAAATTAATTAATAAGATAATTAACTTAATTCATTATTATTATTAATTAAAATAAATTAATCATATTTATTGATCTTAATTTAAGATAATTATATCATTTATCTTGATCAAAGATTGATAATATGATTAATTAATTTTAATTAATGTTAAATTAATTATTTAATTAAGTTAATTATTGAATTAATTAATTTAAATCCTTAATTTCCGTTAATTATCTTTTCATTTTAATTTTACCCAAAACTTTTACAATTGAGCAATTTAGTCCACATATTTCAACTCTTTTCAAATTAGTCCTTCATATTTTTGAATTTAACCAAATCAGTCCTTCATATTTCAAATTTAATCAAATCAGTCATCTATGTTTTGTATTTAATCAAATCAGTCCTTCATGTTTGAATTTAATCAAATTAGTCCTTTAACTTTTTACTTATGCTCACTTCGCATGCATGTTCTTGAATTTGTCCATTTTAGTCCAAAAACCTAAAAATGTTTCAATTTGGTTTATCTTTTTTTTTTTTTTTCTTTTTAAGCTTGCTTATTAAGACTTAAGTACAAATATAATTAATAAGTTGAATCAAAACCCCAATTTTAAAGTATGCAACCGTATTTAAACGAAGAATTGTGAGGTGCGCGTATGCCCTTCCTCACTCCTAACCGAACCCTTGAACCCCGATTTCTGCGCAGACCTGTTTTAGGTGACTTGTCCCACCTTATAATTTGGACGAGTGGCGACTCCCTTCTTTTTTATATTTTCACACTTAATCCCTTTTAAGTGGTCGTCAACAGATTGGCGACTCCACTGGGGACCGAACTAGCATCTCTAGTTTCCATATTCTGGGTTCACGAGGGTCAAGCAAATACTTTAACTTTGGGGATTTTTCAACTTTTGATTTTCTTCCTTTTTTTTTTTTTTTGAGTCTTTGTTGGTCTTTGTCGATCTTTGTCATTTGTTGCATGTGCTTGTTGCTTGTTTTGGTTGTTGCTTTTACTGTTCTTTGCCTTTTAGTGATTATCTTACTATATCATAACATGCATCATACCTTGCTCACATGTTCATGCATCATATCATCTCACATGCTCATCCATCATTGATATTATATGCTTATTCATCATGCATCACGCTTACATGCCTATTTGCTTGTGTGTGGATATACTCACCTTTTGCACTTGGCTATGGAGTATTCAGTGAGTCTCTTCCCTTTTGTGCGATTATTTATATTTTTGTTGCATGCTAAGTGTTGGTTGCTTTGTGTTACTAACTTTTGCATTTGGCATGGGAGTACTAGGTGAGTCCCTTCCTGCTGTGTAAATAAGTGTGTTTGTGGATGCTATATTTGTTGAGTGCTTTACATGCTTTATTTGATTGCTGTGGGATATATGTTGCTATTTTGTGGTTGCCATTATGCAGGTTATTGAAGTGTCATGCCCCTTGCACACACCCACTCTCATTTTGCATCAAGTCTGTCTCGGAGGTGAACCCGACCTCTAGTCTAGAACCCTTACGAATCTAGCTTGGAAGAGCAATTCTTCCCGCTTTGAGGAGTAAGATCAATTCTTGTTAGGTTGTTTCCATTGGTTAATATGACACCTGATGATGTAATATCGTCCTGTGTATTAGCTTTTGGAAATATCTCCCATTGACTCTGAAAGGATAAACGGTTGAGAAGGCCTAATGCCCTTTAGGAAAACATGTAGTGGCCTTAGAGAGATACCAGCCTTAGGACATGTTTCCCTTAGTATCCCACCCGTGAGGTTAGGCTTCCCGCGTTTAAGACACAAAAGGGGCATTTTACTTACTAACCTTTGTTTGCGCATATGGTAGCTTATCTTTATATTCTTAAAGAGGTATGGCATGTGAGGGTATGATTTATGTTTAACTCTTTTAAGCTTTGTGTTTAGGTAACATTGTGCATTAGACATGGATTTTACCGAGGATACAGTTAGACAAGGGAAGAGGCATGAGGAGGATGTCACATCTCATTCTACTGCTAAAAAGGCCAAGGGGTCCATCTTTTCAGTTAATACCTCCAAACCCGACTTGAAGTTGTTGAAAGAGGCTTATGGCTTGTTGTCTTCTAGGGAAAAGCATGACTTTGAGGTCCGATTTGGGTGCATTGTGGATTTATTGTCAGTGGTGCCGGATTGGGATTTGTTCAGAGCTATGTTGAAGTTTTATATGCCTCAGTATCAAGCTTTTTGTGTTCCCACAGTTCGAGTTAGTGCTTACCATTGATGAGTACCATCATTTCCTTCGGTGTAGTCCTGCAGTGGATTCTTGTTCCTTCACTCCTCAAGTGCAACGTATGCAGTTCACATAGACAAAAGTTCAGGAAATGCTATGTGGGACTTTTCATTTGAATTCTCACGACCATTGGTGACAACAATAAATAATTCTTATGGGTTTGATTGGAATGCAGCATTAATGGCCTTGGGAACAAGATTAGAAGGCATGACATCTTCTCAAAAGATTAACTTTGTGGCATTGGGAATCTATGGCATGGTGATCTTCTCTATTCATGTTAAAAACATTGCACCTATGGTGATAGTTTTCTTTGAGCAGTTGTTGCACACTTCAGCACTTAATCCCGTTCCTACAGTGGTGGCTGAAACTTTGAGGTCTATGGGAAATGTTCGAGTAGAAGGATCCGGTCGTTTTTTGAGTTGCATTGAGTTATTCACTATGTGGGCACATGGTCATTTGAGGGGTCCTCAATTCGAAGCTTTACTTGGTGTTCCTATGAAAGATAGAAAGGTGGAAGATTGGCATTGATCACTTTTGGCTGCAACAGTTAATGATGTCAGATTTGTTCTCCCGACTTGGAATGCTACTCATTATCCTGCTCCACCCAAAGGACGTCACTCTATTCCTTTGTTGGGTATTCATGGAGGGGTTACATATTCAGTGGAATTGGCATCTCGTCAGTTTGGAAAGGCACAAAGCATTCCTTATCTTGATGAAGCATTGCAGTCACATTTTGACTACACATCTTTTCCGGTGATAACTAACAAGATATCCGAGGCACATGGGGCGTGGGAGAAATGTAGAATGCTACTGATAAGGAAAGAGAAAGGGACTAGGCCGTAATACGACCAATGGAGACCAAGTTGGATAGCTAGGCTTTCTTTGCCATTGGAGGTGACAAATACAAAGAACTCTACCATCATGGACTTGACTGCCAAGTTGGAGTTCAGCCATACCCAAAGGCAACAGTTGCAAAAGAAGTATGATGAATTAGCTCTTGATCATGAGTTGCTTAAAAGAGGAAAACAGTTGTCTGATCAGCAAGTAGCGGGATTAAAGGACAAAATTGCCCCGTTAGAAAAGGATTTGGCTGCTAGTAATGAAATTTGTGGTAAGCAAAAGAGGAGCTTGAAGTTTGCCAGAAGACAAAAGGAAAGGCTATTGGAAGTAAAGGCGGATCTTAAATCAAAAGAAAAGGAGAACAAGGAAGTTACTGATAAGGTGACTAAGCAGCAAGAATTGAAGGAAAGGGTGGTTAAGTGGAGGAATGCCTACAACAACCTATCGTCTGATGCTCTACAAAGGGAGTTACAAGTAGCAAAGTAGTCAGAGCAAGAAGGGAAGGAGAACACAACTTGAGTACATAGGGGAAATCTGTTATTTGGGAACTTTTGTTCAAAGATCAAAAATTTAGATTTTGTCAATGAAAACTTACTTGAATGAATACAATGTTTCTTCCTTGTCAAAAATGTATCCAATGAAGTAAAATCCATGATTAGGATAGAATTTTTCATTTTTTAAGTTTCATATTACATGCATTTTCATTTGACTATAATCATTCATTACTTTCTTATTAATATCTCTATTTGGTCATTTTTGTTTAGTTCTCAAGCCCCTTTGTTTGGACCATCTGTGACCTTTGAAAAGAAATATGGATTCTCACACATCCAAGGCACACATTTCTTCACACAAGACCTTGTTGGAGTTCTCTGCTCGTACTCAAAGGCTCAATGAAGAAACCATATCTTATTTACACCAGCTGACAAAGGACAATGAACACTTCACAAAGCCAATGAGCAATTAGAAGAGCAACTACAAGACATGACTATCAACAGTAATCTTTACAAGATTGCCATGGAGGACATGTGCTATCAACTCCAAGTCAAGAAGCAAAAGAACCAAGCCCTTCTTGAAGAGGACATCGGCCTGCGTGAAATTATCATTGACATAGCCGCCTTGGTGACCCAATTCGACGGAAAGATGGTAGAGACTCATCACCACATCGCTCAAAGGACCCATCCGATTGAGAGGGGATTCTTCCAACCAGTTTTTAACTTTATCTTTGACATGTCTAATATGCTCAAAAGGCTGTATTAGAATTCATGTTCTGTAATGAGTATGTTTTAGCTTTAAAAGAATGAAAGCTTGTAAGCACTTTGAAAATGCAACTTTGTAATGCTTGCCCATTTTGTCTAAAGTGCATTCCTTAGTTAGTTTTGTCCTAGCTTTAAAAGAATGAAGGTTTGTAAGCACTTTGAATGCAACTTTGTAATGCTTGCTTTGTTTAAAGTGCATTTATTTAGTCAATGAAAAGTCATATTTTAGTACAACTTATTGTAAAACAGGAAAATAGCTTTACAACAAGACGGGAATGCCAGTGTGAGATCCATATGGAATTTCAAAATGAAACTGATGGTCCAATCAAAAGGGAGCTAAAGTCTCTTTAGTTTTCTAATTTTTTTCCTTTTATCTTTACATTTCTGTTTGTAGGTAAAAATTCTTCAATCATAGCTCCAAAGCGAAAGATCTTCAAAAAGCAACGTTCTCCGTATTTGCTCAAATCTAGAGCCATGTCTGAAGAAAATACTACTACGAATCTGGAAAAACCAGCCATTGATGAAAGGGTTGATAAACTAGAGGCTACAATGCAAGCTATGGCTATGACTCTTCAGGCCATCAGTCTCACTTTGTCAAATCTGACCACTAGTTCTGTTTCTTCGTCTATAGCCTTGGTGCCTACAACGCCTGCCTCATCTGTTCCTATTCCATCATCTACCATTGCATCGGGTAATCGTGCTAAGGCCCCTATGGTCACACACTTACAATTTCCACCTATTTATAAGAATCAGCCTTTAGTGGGAGAGTCATTTTCACATGCACCACAAATGTCACCTGTACTTGTGGAAACCTTACACCTACCACTCGAGATGAACAACCCTATCTTGCCCACAACCACATCCCTTACCCACTCGAGATGAACAACCCTATCTTGCCCACAACCACATCCCTTACCTTTAACATGCCACCTGTGATGGGACAAGTGCCAGCTACTCAACCCACCCCTTCGGTTGAGATGTTAAGGCCTGTTTTAGAGGACGGGAGGTCAAGGGAGGTAGATCACAAGTTGCAACAGTTAGAGGAGGCTTTGAAGGCGATGTAAAGGCCACAGTCTTATGGTTCTATTGATTTAGATGATCTCTGCTACTATCCGAGAATCCAGACAAATTTCAAGTTCAAACAACCGAATTTTGACAAATATGATGGCTCAAGTTGTCTTTATGCTCACCTGCAGATGTACGCCAGGAAAATGGCACCTTATGCTAATGATGAAAGGGTGCTCATTCATTACTTTCAAGACAGTCTGTCAGGCCTGGCAAGCATTTGGTTCTCCATTCTTGACAAAAAGAAGATTCACACTTTCAAGGATGTGTCTCAAGCTTTCATGAAGCAGTACGAGTATAATATCAGTTTAGCTCCTACAAGGGATAGCTTGCAGAGAGTCACTAAGAAGGGTAATGAGACTTTTAAGGAGTTTGCTCAACAGTGGAGATCCGAAGCAGCTAAATTCATTCCACCTCTCACTGACAGTGAAATATGCTCTCTCTTTATCAAGTCAACTACTGGGACCTTCCGTGCATGGTTAGCTCCTTGTGTGGGGTACACTTTTGCTCAATTAGTGATAGCAGGGGAACAAATTGAAGATGGACTAAAGGCAGGTATTATTATGGACTTTCAAACTATCCAGAGGCAGTTAGAGCAAGTTAAGATGGGAAGCTCGAGATCTACTTCGAAGAGGTTCTCATCTAAAAGGAAGAAAGAAGATGGGGAAGCTTTGAATCACATTTTCACTAGTCATGCCAAGCCGATCTATAATGTGGCAAATGTTCCTTACAATCGGCAACCTTAATTACAGCACACTCTGATCTTCAAGTCTACCACCTACCCTCAAAGAAGGCCAAACTTCAATGCTCATGCTCTAGTTAGACAGCAATTCCCTCCGACAAATAGGTCAAGACAGTTTACCAAGCTTCCAATCCCTTATAGTGAGGTGCTGAAACAATTAGTGGCAATGGGTTTGATATAGACAGTGCAAGTGAACCCTGTGCAACCACCTTATCCTTACGGGTATGATCCACGAGCTAAATGTGAATATCATAATGTAACAGGTCATGGTACCGAATATTGTACAACTCTGAAACATAAAATTCAAGATCTCATTGATGAAGGAAAACTCCAACTTGATGAAACTAAGAGTGCTCCAAGCATCACTCAGAATCCTTTACCTCCACATGGTGCACCCACCATGAATATGATTACCCTCGATGAAGTTGATAGACCCGTATTGGAAAATGCTAGTTCATGGTCTCTTGATGAATTATTTGTCATTTTAATAGAGTATGATCTTATTCAGCCAATTGCATCAATGAGCTCGGATGTTCCGCCTGTGACAATTGATGATGCTTCGGTGTGTCTTTATCACTCCAATATGAAGGGGCATACTTTGCAAATTTGTGGAGATTTTCAAAGAAAAATTACGGAGCTACAAAGAATGGGATCTCTGAAGTTCATGTTTGCTCTAGAGTCAGAGAAATTCATAGCACCAGTGACCGAAGAATACTTCACTAAGGAGAAGCCTTACATTTTGCAAGATGCTACAAAAGCACAAGTCATCAATCAGCCTTATGTCTTGAAGACCTCCCTTAATGAGTCACTCATGGGAAAGACATCATCTGTGGTTATGCCTCAACACTCTACCATCTTGAATTCCACCGCCAATGATGTGTCCAATATGACCTGCAGTGGTTGGTGCTATGTGAGTCCCGAGGTGGAAGAATCGAGAAGGGCTGCCTTGAAGTCAAAAGACATCAGAATTGAAGAGATACCAGAAGAATCACCCAAGAAGCTAATGTCAGAAAATGAAGTTGCAGAATTTCTGAACATTTTGAGGAAGAGTGAGTATAGCATCATTGAACAGCTCAACAAAACTCCTGCAAAAATTTATGTTTTAGAATTAATGCTATCATCTGAGGTTCATCTTGATGCATTCCTCAAAGTCTTGAAAGAGGCCCATGTGCCTAAGAATATTGATACTAAGAAGTTTGGGACTGTGTTCGGGGCAATTTTAGCTCCAAATTATATTAATTTCACAGATGATGAGATTCCCGATGAAGGAAATGGACATACCAAGGCTCTCCATATTTCAGTTCAATGTAGAATGATGAATGTGCCTCATGTATTGATTGATAATGGGTTAGCTTTGAATGTGATTCCTATGACGGTCTTGAAACAATTGAAGGTGGATGAATCTCACATCAGTCAGTGCAATACAGTTGTTCATGCTTTTGATGGAACAAAGAGGAATGTGATTGGAAAGATTGAGCTTCCAGTGGAAATTGGTCCTGTGACTTTTTATGTGGATTTCTTTGTCATGGATATTTCTCTCGCTTTTAATATGCTTTTTATGTGCTTTGGTATTCTTGTCACAGTGAATGGTGAGGAAGAGCATGTCATCCGAAAGGCTACAACCATTCCTTACTTGGGAGTTGATCCAGGAACTTATGAATCCTCTTATCACTCAATGGAGTGTGCTGCTGCTTCTTATATTCACCCGAGGTTCAAAGGGAAAAGGGTTGAAATGGCTAAACCTACCAAAGTTGCTGCTAAAATCATGCTTTCATGTCATTATCAGTTGGGAGAAGGTTTGGGATTGAATGGACAATGAATTCTTAAGCCTATTGAAGTAATTCAAACTTGAGGCACTTTTGGTTTGGGATACAAACCGAAGAAGGAAGATTGGCAGAGAATGCGTGCTATTAAAGCGGAGAAACGCCTTGCTAGACTTCAAGGGAGAGACCCAAGGGATGAACCAATGTGGGTGCCACACATTAGAGTCACATTTCCACAACCTGTTGAGATTTTGTGCCCTTCTCTTGATGGTTATGTAGTAAAGCATATGGGTGTTTTGTATGTAGATCCAGAGGGTACTGTTTTCATTGATAGATTGCTTGAAATCGAGGAATGTTCAAAACAAGCAAGGTTTGAGGAAGTGGTGGTGGAAGATATCACCGATGAAGTCTGTTCTGATGATGAGGAAGACAGTTTTGGCTTCAACAACCTCTTTGGGCCAGCCAACATGACAGATCCTAAGGAAAGGTGGAGAAGGATGCTCGCTGAAAGGGCATTTATGGAAAAGCACCCCAACTTTCAACTCATTCATAATGCAAAAGCTCCAATGGATCCACATGAGCCTGTGCTCCTTGAAACAGTGATAGAATAATCACTATGTGACTCATGGGGAAATTTGACTATAAATGCTCTAGATGAGGAAGGACTGGAATTTGATAGGGGAATTTCTCCAGCCAACAGAAGCTCTCAAGCTAATTGGGCAGCAGAACTTCTCCCTATAGCTTTCATCTCCGAGTAAGAAGAGTCAGCCTCTAGTAGTTCTGCTTGTGACTACATGAAGGGAGGGATTCAACAAGTACTTTTATATTTTCTGAAATTTATGTTATCATGCTTCTAGTATTCCCATACTTTCCTTTTCAATGAAACATGTTGCAATCCTACCTATCATTGTAAAAATCATCATGATGCAACTATAGTTGAACTTTCATTGTACAAGCCACTCTTTAATGATATATTTTATGAGGTTATCCAGTAACATGTTCCTATCTTTGCTTTATTATCATTTGGCCATTTATTTACTTCCATCCCAAATTTTCAAGCCTGCTAATGACGAATCTTTAAACAATGATGCCATATCAGACTTTATATATGAGATTGATGATCAGACCTATAAAGAAGAAAACAATGAAAATCTCGATCCTTCTCATGAACTAACTCAAATGCTAAGAAAGGAAAAACCGAGGCTGCAACCAAATCAAGAGACAGAAACCATTAATCTGGGTACTAAAGATGACAGAAATGAGATAAAAATCAATGCTCATCTATCCTCAGAGGAAAGAAAAGAATTGATTAAGCTCTTATTTGAGTTCCAAGATGTTTTTGCTTGGTCCTACAAAGACATGCCGGGACTTGATCCTGATATCACTGTTCACGCCATTCCACTCTATTTTGAGGCCAAGCCATTCAAGCAAAAGCTAAGGAGGATGAAACCAGAGGTTCTGTTGAAAGTCAAAGAAGAAGTACAAAAGCTGCTCGATGTCAATTTCATTGAGGTAGCTATGTATCTGGAATGGTTGGCCAATATCGTTCCTGTAATGAAAAAGGATGGCCGGGTTAGAGTCTGTGTGGATTATAGAGACTTGAACAAAGCAAGCCCCAAGGATGATTTCCCATTGCCTCACATCCAAATTCTGCTAGATAATGCTGCCAAAAATGCTCGGTTCTCTTTTGTTGATGGCTACTCTAGGTACAATTAGATAAAAATGAAGGAGGAAGATAAGCTCAAGACAACATTCATCACTCAATGGGGTACTTTTTGCTACAAAGTTTTGCCTTTTGGACTAAAAAATGCCGGGGCAACATACCAACGCTTTGTGATTACTTTATTACATGACTTTGTGCATATCATTGTTGAGCTACATGTTGATGACATGGTGATTATGTCCAAAGAAGAGGTGCTACATACAGAAAATCTCAAGAAGGTGTTTGAACGCCTTAGAAGATACAAAATGAGACTCAATCCTGCCAAATATACTTTTGATGTGGATTTGGGAGAGCTACTTGGCTTCATTGTGAGCCGCCGAGGGAGAGAGATTGATCCAGCCAAAATAAAAGCCATTGATGAAATGCCACCACCAAAAAACCAAAAAGAAGTTCGAAGTTTGTTGGGTAGAATTAATTACATTGCCTGTTTCATTGCCAACCTCACCACCATTTGTGAGCCTATCTTCAAACTCCTCAGACCAGACAACCCTCATACCTGGAACGACCAATGCCAACAAGCCTTTGACAAAATCAAAGAATACCTCAAAAACCCACCAATCCTTGTGCCCCCAATTGATAAAAGACCCTTCATCCTATATATCACTGTCCTTGAAAAATCCATGGGAGCCGTCCTTGTCTAACATGATGACTCAGGCAAGAAAGAGAAAGCCATCTATTATGTGAGCAAGAAGTTCAATGATTGTAAGAGTAAATACTCACCCTTAGAAAAAACTTGCTGTGCCTTAGCTTGGACATCCAAGAAACTTCACCACTACATGTTAACCAAAACCACTTACCTACTTTCAAGAATGGATCCCATAAAATTCATTTTTGAAAAACCTACCCTTTCTGGAAGAATCTCTCGGTGGCATATGTTGCCTTCCGAATTTGATATTGTTTACACCACACAAAAGGCCATCAAAGGGCAAGCCATTGCAGATCATTTAGCCGAACATGCGACAGAGGATTATGAGCCTATTGATTGGGATTTTCTTGATGAGGACATTTTGGCAGTGGAGGCAGAATCTGATTCAGATAATTGGAAGCTCTTCTTTGATGGAGCTGTTAACCAACTTGGTTGTGGCCTTGGAGCCGTGTTGGTATCCCCAAAGGGAGATCATTTTCCTATTGCTATAAATCTTGATTTTGCTTGTACCAACAACATAGCTGAATATGAGGCTTGTATTGCTGGAATGCATGCTGCTTTGGATATGAATATTCAAGATTTGGAGATATATGGTGATTCAGCACTAATCATCTGCCAAACAAATGGTGAATGGCAAACCAAGGATCCAAAACTTATTCCCTATCACCAAAACCTTGAAACTCTCATCAAGAAGTTTAGATTCATCTCTTTAAATCATATGCCCCGTACCAAGAACCAATTCGCAGATGCTTTGGCAACTTTAGCCTCCATGATCCAAATCTCCAAGGATGAGGTGATTAAGCCTTTGGTGATTGAGATTAGTCAAGAATCGGCACATTGCATGGAAATCAAGGTTGATGACCAACCATGGTTTCATGATATTAAACAATTCTTGCAAAATGGGGAATACCCTTTATATGCTTCTGAGGTGAACAAGAAGACAATCAGAAAATTAGCAGCTTCATACTCCTTGAGCGGAAATACATTGTATAAGCGCTCTGCTGATATGACCTTGTTGAGATGTGTTGATGAAACAAAAGCAAAACAAGTCATGACTGAGGTCCATGAAGGGATATGTGGAACACATGCAAATGGAAGAATGCTTGCTAGAAAAATTCTCAAGGCTAGCTATTATTGGTTGACTATGGAACATGATTGCATCAGATATGCATGAGCTTGTCACAAATGTCAGATTTATGCTGATCATATTAATGCTCCGCCTTCATTACTGCATAATATGTCCGCCCCTTGGCCGTTCTCCATGTGGGGCATTGATGTGATTGGGGCAATTAATCCTAAAGCTTCCAATGGTCATCAATTTATCTTGGTTGCTATTGATTATTTTACCAAATGGGTAGAAGCAACATCTTATGCTAGTGTTACAAAGAAGGTGGTTACTAGCTTCATCAAAAGAGAGATCATCTGCAGATATGGGCAACCAAAGGCCATCATCACTGATAACGCAAGCAATTTGAACAATGATATGATGACTGCACTATGCAAGCAATTCAAGATCAAGCATTTTAACTCTTCTCCATACCGACCAAAGATGAATGGTGCGGTGGAAGCTGCCAACAAGAACATCAAGAAGATTCTAGCTAAAATGGCAGTCACTTACAAAGATTGGCATGAAATGTTGCCATATGCTCTCCATGCTTATAGAACCTCTGTTTGCACTTCAACTGGGGCAACACCTTATTCCTTAGTATATGGAATGGAGGCAGTATTACCAATTGAGCTAGAAATCCCTTCTATGAGAATCTTATCCGAGTCAGGGATTGATGAAGAAGACTTGATTCAGAAAAGGATTGATTATCTCAATTTGCTTGATGAAAAAAGATTGGCAGCTCTTTGTCATGGCCAATGCTATCAGCGACAAATGGCAGTAGCTTACAACAAGAAAGTCAAACCTAGAGTATTTCATCAAGGAGATCTCGTCTTAAGAAAGATCATGCCAAATGAAAGGGACCCTAGGGGCAAATTCACACCGAATTATGAAGTGCCCTATGTTGTTAAAGAAGCTTTCTCCAGAGGAGCACTCTTGTTGAGATATCCAGATGGAACTGATTATCATCACCCAGTGAATGCCAATGTTGTCAAAATGTATTATTGCTAAAAAAAAAAATTTAGTTGAAAACCCGAAAGGGCAGCCTAACAAATTAATGTTTCCTTGACTTAGAAAATTGAAAATCCAGTGATGAAAGGCCTTGTTTCTCTATCCTAAACAGTTGAACATTACCCTTTTGCTTACCCCTTTTGAGCCAAAAAAAAAAGGTAATCATTCAAATTTACAAAAGCCAGAATGATTTTCTTTCTATTAACCCACATTAATGACCGGGGAAGTGAAGAGAGAGATGTGAGGGGAACATATGGATTTTGAGCCTTTATCCTTTCTTTCATCGTAACCTAACCCTTTATCCTTTCTTTCATCGTAACCTAACCCCAAGCCACGTTACAAGCCTGTATGAAAGTCCTTATCTGAGGGTTTAAAGCTTTCTTTGTCAAGGGACACATTAAAAAAAAAAAAAAAGAGAAGAGAAAGAAAGAAGAAACAGCAAAGCTCCAAGCATTGACAGTGGAAACTTCCTTATTTTGAGCATGAGAGTTAGTTCATGAAAAGGGAAAGATTTGAAGTGTCAATATGCAAAAAAGGAATGAGACTCTCTCTCGTGGACTAAAGAACTGAGGGGCAGAGTTGTAAAGAAAAGATGATCAAAAGCAACGATTTATGGTCTGAATATCATGCAACCAATTGCATCAAAATCTTGTATTATTGGCCGGACTTCTTTTGTCACTATCCAAAGTTGACCTTTTGATCATCCTAACCTTGGTTGAATCTAATGAAATAAATCATTGCAATCATTCTGTTCACACTTTATTCTAACCTTACCTTTTATTCAGTATTGGGAATGCTAGTTGAGCATGAGACTCTATTTCAATTAATATATTTGCTTATTTAATCAAAATCTCTTGATGAATTTGAAAGGTTGGATGAGAATTATAGAGAGAAAGGAAGCTGAATTCGATAGCTAAGAAGTCATCCATGCTAGCTGAAATTCCAATATCAAATGAAAGTTCAACTTATTGGGACAATATTTTCAGATATTTCTTCATGGGAAACAAATGAGATTCTGCCTTTGGCATTCCACAGAGTATTCATGAATATGAATCTACTGAGCTGCTACATAGAGATGATCACAGATTGATGAATGCACAACATAAAGCACATTTGATTCTCGCCAGATATGGACTCCCAACATGTTTAGGGAAGTTTCTTAACCTCCTTTCATTTTCACCTTATCTTATATGTGAAAATTGTCTCATTTACATCTGCTTCATTGTCACCACATTTGTCAAACATTACTTTTGTCCACTCCTTAAACCATTCAATATCAACTCATTGGGTCATTACGGTTAAAAAACCGTTTCTGGTATGGTTCAAAAACCATTTCTACTCAGTTAAAAAAAAAAAAAAAAACGTTTATTGCTTGGTTCAAAAACCATTTTACTCGGTTAAAAAACCGTTTCTTGTGTGGTTCAAAAACCATTTCTACTCGGTTAAAAAATTGTTTCTTACTTGGTTAAAAAACCATTTTTTTTTGGCTCGATTAAAAAACCGTTTCTGCTCAACTGGCTCGGTCATTTGACCATAGCCACTCAAAACCAACTCGGTTGTTTGACCGTAGCAACTCAACTTGGTTAAAAAACCGTTTCTTGCTTAGTTCAAAAACCATTTCTTGCTCGGTTAAAAAAACCTTTTCTTACTTAGTTCAAAAACCATTTCTTGCTCGGTTAAAAAAAACCGTTTCTTGCTTGGTTCAAAAACCATTTCCTACTTGGTTCAAAAACCATTTCCTGCTCGGTTAAAAAATCGTTTCTTACTTGGTTCAAAAACCATTTCTACTCAGTTAAAAAATCATTTCTTACTTGGTTCAAAAATCATTCCCCCCTCGGTTAAAAATACCTTTCTTGCTAGGTTCAAAAACCATTTCTATTCAATTAAAAAAAAAAACTGTCTTACTTGGTTCAAAAACCATTTCTCGCTTGGTTAAAAAAAAAATTTTTGTTTGAGTTATTTTTATCTTTTCGTTTCATTTTTAACAAAAAGAAAAGAAAAGAGGGGCAACTGTCATAACTCAAATTTTTAATAGAATTTTATTTTTTTTATTTATA